CAGATTAGGTAAAAAAGCTAAACTTTTAAGGAGAGTTTATGCAATAATGAGTTAATTTCATTGTTAAATATATATTAAAACCCTGCAGGAAGAAGTCCCTTTGGTCTGAAGTGAGTTAGTAAATTGGTTTTGAAAAAGGCACGCAACCTTCAATTTTTAGCCAATTCTTGGAAATTAGAAGGTGAACTGTTAATTGTGTGTGTGTGTATATATATATATATATATATATATATATATATATATATATAGAGAGAGAGAGAACTAGATAGGGAAAAGTATTAAGATAAGCTTAATTTAAATAAAATACAATATAGTGTCATTCTATCACCAGTTAAAGTGATATTCATTCCTAGTGTCAGTCATGATTGAAGACAGTACTCATACTGGCCTTTGGTTAATTTAAAAAATAAATTTGACTTGAGAGTAGCAAACAGCCAGACAACATTAATGGTCCAAGTTTATTGAACAGAGCTCTTATTTAAATAAGTTTAGTTTAAAAGACAAAATAAAAAAAGAAATTCTCTTACCTACTCAAGAAATATGACAAGTATAGTAGGTGTTTACAAGTCAAACAATGAAAACAATTTACTTAGCCCAGACTCAATAAAAAAAAAAACTCTTGTGCACATAAAATGCCATCAATTTGGCCTGGCAATAACCAAAACAAGAGATCTGAGTCTTCTGCTCATTTAAGTAGACATGCTTTTTTCTGGCCTATCCCATTTCACCTTGCTTCCTCCATCAGCTTCTATACAAGGACTACATTCACCAATCACATCACAATAAGATTTGTAAATATTTTACTATTAGTATACTGTTTTCAATTTCAGTTTATATTTTCTAAGACAGTTCATGAGTAATAGACATTTTATACAAACCATTCAGTTAATCTTCTGTGTGTATATATATATATATATATATATATATATATATATGAGAATATCTCTGTAAGAATACTATATGCAATCTGTAAATTTCCATTCAAATTCATTAAATGAATATGTTTTTCTAAAACAAAGATTTATTGTAGTAAAAATCTATCATAAAAGTTTAAGAAATACACATATTAATGATTATATTACTTCTCAGCTACTGATTGTCATGTTAATCAATTGAAAATAAAAATCTAACCTTCACAAAATCATTATGCTTAAGTAATAGAAAACATGAAAGAAGTAATAAAAACAAACTAAATTAATGAACATTATTTACATTATTCGGACTATTGTCCTCATCTTTGTCGACATATTTATCACAACGTTTCGGCCGTTGTACGCTCCGGCCTTCTTCAGGTGGTTGGAATTTTGAACTTACAGACTCTAAATTAATGAAATTGTGAATTCAGGATAATCATCATTTTTGTAGGCATGCAGTTTATAGATTTTATAATAAAAGCTTATTTTGTTGAAACAAACTCAAAATAAATATTTTATTTTTTTAGTTCCATACAATATAAGAATGATTTGGTACCTGCAAAATTAAATATTTAAAGCCATTTGAAATGAATTAATCAGACTTGATTATACTCAATTAAATATACTACAAAACTAGGTTTAAGTTATTTTTGTATAAGAATTATTAACTATTCAAAATATCATTAAAAAGTTTTCAATTTTAAGAAGTCTTCCATGAGCATTCAAAGTACCTTAAGTATATTTTACTGTTTTTTTTCTCTACTGACAAAAAATGTTATTCCTTTTGAAAGAAAATTTTACAAACAATTTACATGTCTCAAGCATAAGAATTATCCCACAAATTCAAACACAAAGTTTACCATAAAATTATAATTTTAATCAATAAGTCATTTTACAAGTATATGAATCATTAGTGAATGATAGTGAGATTTATACCCAGTGGCATTTTCCAGGTTTTAGCTTGATCTAAGTTTTAACTAACCTAAACAAACATCTTTGATAAGTCATTTCATATGTCCCAAGAGAAATGTTTGCATTTGGTATTCAAAATAGTATTTATACAAGTCTCAGACTCAATAGCATGAACAGAGGTATTTGAGTGGATAATCTTTAAGGTGCAAAACATGGCTTTCTTGTTTTTTAATTTTAAAATAGGTACATTTTTGATAAAATGTATGCAAAAGCTTTCATCTACTTTTCAATAAAAATCTCTACTTTTGATTTACCCACAACTAGTGACAGAAATGTAAAGAAAGATTACAGATACTCAAATAGGCAAAAAGAGAAATGGCAACAGATTGAATGCAATCAGGTGAGGATTTGATCAATTTTGCATCTACATAATAAGTTAAATATATTTAAATACAGCCATTCCTTCTTGTAGATTATTACTAATAATAATATAAATCAATGAAGTGATAATACACTGAAGAAATAACTAATAGAAAAGAAGGTTCAATTACATGACAAAAATGTTTAAGAAAGACTTCCTCATGATACTAAGGATTTACTAAATGCCCTAGTAATTCAAAGAAATTTAACAAACAAATATGAAAATAATTAATACCAATTTAAATTAATTTAAGAAAACTAAACATGCATTGAATTATAAAATGGAAAATATGAGCTTAATTCTACAAAAGATAATTTCCAAGCACTTTAAATCTTAGTCACCAACCAAGAAGCTTGATATTTTATTCCTTAGCCTTGTGGGTCAAAAGTATAAGAGTTTTATAATAGTCATATAGTGGCACACTTTTGACTTTACATATTTATGCCTAAAACAATTTTGAGTTCAAATACATGATTAAATATGCCATCCATTAAAACCAACATGTGTTGCACTGACATTAATCAAATTTCCTCAAAATATTTTAAGATGGAATTTAAAATTCAGGCATGCAAATTTTTAAAAGAAACTTAATTTATATCAACACTTTAACACATTTAGTTTATAAAAAAAAAATGATTATTTGCATTTATTAAATGAATCTGTTAAAGTTATAAATAAAATAATTGATAAAAGATTCCAAGAATATTGATCTTTGTCATGATTTGGCAAAATGATGTTCTAAATATTGGATATGAATTAAGCCAATCTCAAAAGCTATTATAAACACAAGGATACATTTGAAAATAAAACTAACTAAACATTGATTTAATTCCTAGTGGCTATAATGTAACACAATGTGATCAAGATTTAGTTGTATATTTTGAGAAATTAACATAGTACCCACATTTACATATAGGTCATTTGATTCATTTATATTTTAAATAATACAAATTAACTAGACTATATATATATATTAGTTAATCCGATGACAAGAATTCAGATTAGTTAAAACTTATAACATGAAATATAACTGATGAGCTAACAATTGTAGAATGAGTTCTAATTTGAACTATACAGTTTCATTAGAAGTTATCTCACTGAGAAGCAAATGTTTTCTTGCCCATGTCCATTAAACAAGAATAAATAATAAAATTGTTAATTCACATTACTAACACAACTGCTTCAATGTTACATTAAAATTCCCATAAGAGTGATAATATGTGCCAACTGAATTCATTTTCTCATATGATAAAAAGATGAACAAAAATAAAAAGTGGTTTCAAAAGGAAAAAAAAAAAAGCACCATATTTTGTTAGGTATGTATTATTGGCATTAGCAATACATACAGTATTTAAAAATCCTAAATGGATTTGAACATCAACAGATTTTATTCTGTAAATTGCTCAGAAATAAAAGTGAAATCAGGTAAAAGTAATTTAAAAACTATAATTTAATCTAGAAATGTTCCATCAAAATTTGCTATTCTATTGTGGTAGTAAAAAAAGTATATAACAGGATTAACATTTCCTCAATAATGTTTGACAGTTATTTCAATAAAAAAGTCATTTTTTTTCAAATACAATATCTAAATAAAAGGTATAAATATTTATATCTTGCTATTTAATATGAATCTAAAATCACATAAGAATATTTCCAGTATTTCAATCAAATAAAAAATAAATAAAAGCCACAAGCAAAAAATATAAAATTCTAAGTTAATATCTGAAAATAAAATAAAGGAAAGAGAAAATAAATATATACTGGATTGTAATTTATATAACAGAAAAAAATGTAAAGCCTTGCATCCTCGTCTTCTCACCTCTCCAAGTAAATTCAGTGGTTAATATCATGAATTCAGAATAAAAATTAATTTATTCAAGAACATCTAAACATACACACTAACAGCAAATTTCTAATTTATTCAACAATAGTACCGTATTTTTACCAGAATAAAAAAAATGTAATGTTGAATCCATAATTTATTAATACACTATTTCAACATCTCTTTACTAAGTTTGTCAGATCATATGCATCAGCTAGTTGATGCTTCCTGTGAACACAGTAGAAATCGATTAAATGCTTAAGATAAACAATTAAAATGTAAAAATAGGAATTTTGAGTTTTAGACAATAGACTTAGATGAGAAAAGAAATTCCCCAGAAACTGGATGTGCAGATAAATACAAATTTGTGAACTTCACAAATGTGACTGGGAAATTCAACCTTAAAATATGTATAAAAATTAAAGTGAGTAAACATCCAAACTTTGCATTTGTTTACTTCTTTAAAGTTATTAATGTATCTGTATAAAATGCACTTTATTATTTTAAAATAAATTTCAAAAGAAACTTAGTATTAGTATCTGAAATAGATGGAGAGGAAGAGAAAAATTATATATTAATATAGACATACAATCAAATAGTTACACACACTAAATAATGTTAATAAGAGTAAAAGAAAAATATTTGAATATGAAAACAATGAGTAATTTGAACCATTACATAATAAACTTATATCAGAAAAACGTGCATATACAGCAGTAGAAATAAAATTATTATTGTTAGAGCAGCAGCAAATATAGTAAAACTTACAGTACATTAAAAATCTGATAAGACAAAAAAAAAAAAATAGAATATTTTCAACAATAAAAAAAAGTAATCTTAATTTAGCGGAGATGGAATTCTTGCTGCAGCAGTGTTGTTTCTTTTCCTATATTGCTCTGCATGCATTCATGTTTATATGCTGTAGGATATTTTACATGATAATTTGTGGATCAGGCACAGAAACGGATATGGCTTTATGAGGCAGGATACGACCACCATTGATGTATAACTCATCTTTTACTATCACATCTTCACCAAGCACAGTAACATTCTCCATGCGCACCTGAAAGGAGACAAAATCATTTTGCCATTTAATAAAGATAAAACTTAAAATCAGTGTCATTTGATAAAAAAAATATATATGAATGATTATATTACATAATATAGTGATGGGTTAAGGATTTCTATACTTTTTAACAATATATGAAAATAAATTTTATCGACATTATGAATTTTTGCCTAAGAGTGGAGTAAATATATTTTTATGAAATTATACCAGCAGAATTATGTAAATGTTTTATTGGAGTGGAGCTAATCTCTTTTTTGTTTAAATATTTAAAGGTCTTAATGTGAAAACTAAAAGTCATTGGGACAAAATGGAATAGTTCAGATTGAAATGGACATGCTTCTATTTTATTAAAAAAAAAAAAAAAAAAAATGAATATTCTAATTTCTTCAAGTCAACATACTTAACCCCATGTGTTTCCATATAAGGGGAGGTGCTGAAAAGCTCCTGCCTGATCAAAAAGGGAATGACCAAAAGTTATGAAATGCACATGCTATTCCACATATTTGCTTGCACTCCCAAATTTCAACACATTTGATATATAATTTCTTTAACCCTCCCAAAAACAAATATTCTGATGCTTGATCAGTGAAATACTGCTGCTGCTATCAACTCTGAATAATTTGAAAACTTCATCTTTCAAATTCCTTTAAAGGTTAGGAAACTGAAATAGATGGATCTGATGAGTATGATAGTTGATCTATGTCAATGTTTCTCAACAAGTGCTCACAGGTGCACTAATGCACTCTGAAAGGTAACTAGGTGTGTCCCAAGTTAACAGAAGAGTAATTAATTAATTTTTTTATATTTAAAAAAAAAAATCTTAACCCACAAAGGGATGATAAGCTATAAAAAACAAATCAATCAATCAATAGAGTTGCATTGATTGTTTGAAAATCAATAATTTAATTACAATTAAAGATTGTTAAGAACCCTTAGAGGATGCACGGTGGAGTAATGGATACCAGCTCGGATTGAGGAAGCGGAGAGCTGAGTTCGAATTTCAGTCGAATACATTACATTCACTTATGTGCTAACATCCCTGGGAAAGGTATGAATCCTCCTCTTATGCCCCCAGCTATGGGTAAATAGCAGAACAGACTGAGTTCTATAACCTTGGATGGCAGCTGGTCTACCTCAGAAAAAAATGGCAACCTACTGTGGGAAAAAATCTACCTCGTCAGTCATATATCGAAAGATACATGATCGCCTAAGTGTGTATCACACATGGCACATAACTGAAAAACCCTTAAAAACTATCAGAATATTATTTAAATTCATTCTACATCTAACATAGAGGATGGCTCTTAAACCAGGGATGAAATTTCTGTGATTTAATAAACAAGGATGGTCAAGTATGAAAACCAATTAATCAAGGGAAAAAAATGGTTGGGACTAATTAATTGGCAAATGCTGAACTAATTATCAGTTGATTAATCAGTGCAACCCAAGTTTATAATTCATGAGCAGTTGGATATGAATATACTATTAAGTGCATACTAAAATATTTGAGTGCCAACAAGAAACAAGTGCACACCTCCAAATCAGTTCTACAGTATTTTTAACTATCTCGTGATAATATTTTGGAACAACATGTCACTGTGGATGAAACATATACCACTATGATCTGGAGATCAAACAATAATCCATGAAGTGGTCACACTCACATTTTCCATGACCAAAGACATTCAAGTAACAATCATCAACAGAAAAATCATGGCTATAATTTTTATGGCTAAAAAAAGGTATTCTGATGACTATCTTCAGATATGTATCTCAGTAATTCTTTGGATTAAGACTTGGCCAAAATTAGTTAAACAATTTCAGAAACTGGCACTGTCAAAAAGCTCCTTAGCTATGCTGATTCTTGAATCTCAAAATTAGAATACCACTTTACAGTTGAGTATGATATGCACTTGTCACCCAATATTTACATCACATGCTAATGGATTTGTTTCACAATTTTCTTCTATAGGAACAAAAAATTTCATAGCAGCCCAGAGTTCAATACTTAGAAGTTTTACATTTTCTGTTGGCATGTTTCAAATAATTAAAGAACAGTCTTTCCAATTACATTTGATAAAATAAGGTTCAGGTTTGAGATGAGGGTTGGACAAAGAACTTTTCAGTATCTCTTAATATTCACACATTAAGTGAAAAGCTTGGTTTCTCCTAACAAACTTTGTAATCAGTACTGTAGCCCAATTAAAATACGTACTAAAATAGAAATAACCACAAATCCACTAATTATATTCCTGATATCTTTTATAATTTTGAGAAGAGTTACTATCATGGTGAGAATGGTTTTTAGACTATTCAACTCATTCTTTATATTACTTTTTTTTGTTACAATATTTTGGGTGAGCCATTACACTGCCTTTCTCTGTGGAAAAGAGAAAATGTTGCAAATATGCAAATGGCTCAACTCATAACCCAACAACATGCACCATACAAGCAATGACATTTTGAGCAAAGCATGTAACACAGGTGATTCTACATTTTTATATGTAGAGATTTATGATTTGTATTTTTCTCTCATGCACGGGCATTGTCCAGTCTTGGTGCTGTTAGATTTTGTGAAAGATATAAGGTGAACAATTCTTTCTTTGACCCATTTAAACCACAAGCAATTTTGGTTACAAACTAAATATGGGAAAAAAATTGATTAGGCAACAAACTGATAGGGTCATTTAGCAGCAGAGAATATGGTTATGTCCTTAAAAAAGTACACCTTAGTGACAAAGCTGCAAGATATTTCTGATATGGCAAGATTCTTATTGCTATATTTAGAAAGGGACACATTGGCACTTCATCTGGAAATCATCAATGAAAGCCAGGAAAATTCAGTGAAGGTTAAAAGAAGCTATTGAGGTCTATGGTAAGTTGGGGAAAACAAGATGGACTGGAGTTCAAGTAGATAAGTACACAAATTAAGTTAGGTGATTGGTGGGACTAGTAGAATTTGCAAGAGAAGAATTGAAGACAATATTGAAACTAGCATTCATGGCCTGCAAGATTAAATATTGGTAGCACTGTAACAATTGCCAAATATTAACATGAAAAGGGTAGTACTGTTTCTGAATATTGTCCTGATATTGTACAATCCACTAAAGTTTTGTTTTCTCACATACCTCTGATACCAAGTGACTATTTTCAATTCTTGGTTCTTGTACTCCCAATCCATTAATCTGCCAATAGATGCTATTTCATTGTAGTTATTTCTTCAAAGTGATCTATACATGGATCATCTATTGATAACTATCTCAGCTATCACTTTACAGGCAACAGATAATCCATTGCTGGACATTGTATGGGTGGTGAGAAATTAAGTATATGTCATTTGAATTTATGCTCTGTACAATTTAACAGCACAATGAAGAATATCTTGCTAATCGCTATATCAAGGACATGTGTCACAGAGTCAAGTTCATCTTTAGTCGCTGTTGTTACTTTGATAAACAGGTTCATGTGAAGGCTATTTATGTGGAATGAATAGGAGAGTCCATGTTTATTCCCATAAAGTGAGTAAAGTTCTTCTCATAAGGAGATAATAGGCTGACAAGGTCTACCAGCAATCTATAATTTATGGTTAAAATTCTTAGCCTCAGTCAGCAACAAACCATAGACTCTGGCTGAATATCATTTATAAAATTTTGTTAAAGACCACAAAATATTCTGAAAATCCAGAATATTTTAAAATAATATAATTTTTAAAGAATATAGCAGTTTTTTAATAAAACATTTTTATAATGAGTGTATGTTTGGTCAATTTTGTACACACAGCATGAGATCACTAAGAATTTTGAACAATGATGTTCAGTCAGCTATAACATACTTAGTCCAAGTACAGGTTACCAATTACTCTTATGTACCAACATTTGTGTGTAGGGCTTGTTGGTAGAGTAAAAGTTATAACATTTAGGATTGAGTTTCTAAAAGAAGGAAAACTGATTTCTAACAAAGAGAAGTTTAGTACTTCTGTAGCTTATATAAATATTTACTTTTATTTAATACAATTTGTAAGCAGGATTCAGTGCAAGAGACAGACTGATGCCATAATAAATCAAAGTTCCACCTTAACTACTAGTTTTATGAAAGTCATTAGAAAACATTAAAAACAATTTCTTTTTCTTTGTATGTGTGTGTGTATATATATATATATATATATATATATATATATAAAAATATTATTGTTGATACTTCATATTTGAAATAAATGTCTCATTTTTATTTATTACAGTGTGTATTATGTCTATCAGTCTGTGTATTCAAAAAATTTTAGCAAAGATAATGCATTTTCTGACAGTTCTTCACTAAGGTTTATTGAATGCACAGATTAATAAATGTAATACAGACTGTTTAATAAATAAAAATAGGGTGTCTATTTTAAATATGGAAGTATCCACTATAATAACATTTGAAGTAATAAAAATTTTGGATTAAAAATAAAATCTATTAATTATATATATATATATATATATATATATATATATATATATATCTCATACTTATTATAAAACCCAGGTTGTGTGTGTGTCTGTTCGTTTATATATTGGATCAGATTTCCTACATTTTTCAACCGATTTCAACAAAACTTCACGGGACTACATAAAATTACCCTGCGGTGGTTCTGACAGTGCCAAAAATTGGAAAAACACAATTGTTTTTGCACAAAATCAATTTGAAAACACGATTAAGAGGCGTTGCCGTTTCGAGAATGAAAAGGGGTCAACTCATATCGAGTTATACTTATTATAAAACCCAGGTTGTGTGTGTGTGTGTTCGTTTATATATGGGATCAGATTTCCTACATTTTTCAACCAATTTCAACAAAACTTCACTTTTTTTTTGGCAGGTAGTGTTTCTTATTGTCTTGCACACTTTTTTCTTTATTTTTACATTCAGAATGCTTTAAATATTCCATTTACAAGACAATTGTTTATAATAAAATTCTATTCAATCGATAGACTCATAACGATTGAAAACAATGTTTTTGTTTGAGTTTGGGTTTGACTAATTAAGTAAAAAAAAAAAAAAAAAAAACAAACTAATTAAAACATGCGTGTCCGTCAACCTTAAACGATAATCTTTGTCAATTTTATTTTTCAGTCTTTATGATGGTTGATACTTGATCTATCTCTTACATCCCCGGGCAACGCCGGGCTCTACTAGTATATATATATATATATATATATACACACACACATACACACACTAGTGGAGATACCTAGCATTACTCAGAAGATCTCTGAATAATAGTTTATTATTGAAAATTTATTGATATTTTTAAGCCATCTATACATATATAAAGGGCGTGTCCAGCTAAAATTAAAAAACTACAAAAATTTATGGCAAAGTAAATATATATACAGGCTCATTATCACCCAAACCAGCTATTTGTAAAAAAATTATCATCTCAGAATTAAAAAGTACAAACAAATGTTAATAATTCTTATTCCCAATTAGGATTACCATTTGTTTTTACTTTTTCATTCTACATGTATTTTTAAAATTTCTATTCTCTTGAATTTATTTTCACATCTATAGTAAATAGAAATGTAACTTAAAAAAAAATGAATATTAAAACACCAAAGTAAATTTAAAAGAAGAATATTAAATACAATTATTTGACGAAAAGTTTGATATTTATTTATTCAAATATTTGTGTGTGTGTGTTCAGCTAAAACTTAAAAACTACAATAACTAATGTGTGAGTGTATATTATTGAGGTATTAATATTTTTCAGACATCTTATGGAAAATAATTTTTTTATTCAAACTTTAAAAAATACACTTCATTGTTTTTTTTGGTTTGTACCTAATATAAAAAGTAAATACTTTTCAATTAAATTTTATTAAAACAAAAAACTATAGCAAGTCTTATTTTTTCAAAAAATTAATTTAAATATAGTTAAATTCATAAAACAAATATTCAACACAACTAATGTTGACCATATGTAATGTCTGTCCCTGCCAATTTTTATTTAATTAAAGTTTTTTTTTTTCAAATACAAATATAAATTGAAATTTAAACAATCACTTTTCAAAATTAAATTCTCAATCTATCTTGCTTCTACACACTTTCAAAATAGTAATTAAATTCATTTACAGAGCAATGTTTGCTTCTTTAATGTAATGTTTAAAAATAAAACTTTATTTACTTTAAAAAAATCTAACTTCTCCTCCAAAATAAATAATTATTTTTCGAAGAAGTAAGGCTTGCTATAGTTTTTGCTTGAAAAAATGATTAAATTAATTGTTTAAATACATCTTAATTGAAGTTTATTTACTTTTTATTAATAATTTGAAAAAAAGTTAATAAACTTTTATCTAAGTTTGATTTGTTTGAAAACGTTAACAGAGTATTTATATTAGTATTTAAATGGAAAAATAAATTATCTTTTTGAACAAAAATATGAGGATCCTCAGCCCCCCAAGATCCTACGCCGTGTGTGGTATTGGTAGGGTGGCATTTTTCTAAATTTAGTTATTTAAACCAAGAAAAAAATGAAGTTTATTTTTTAAAGATTGAATAAAAAGTTATTTTCCATAGGATGGCTGAAAAATATCAATAAATTGTCAATAATAAACTATCATTCAGAGATCTTCCAAGCAATGCAGGGTATCCCCACTAGTTATTAATAAAAAAAGTAAATAAACTTAAATTAAGATATATTTTAAACATATTTAATTTAATCATTTTTTTCAAGCAAAAACTATAACAAGCCTTACTTCTTTGAAAAATAATTATGTATTTACTACTTATTTTGGAGAGGAATTTAGATTTTTTTAAGTAAATAAAGTTTTACTTTTTAACATTAATTACTATTTTGAAAGAGAGTAGAATCAAAATATATTGAGAATTTAGTTTTGAAAAGCAATTGTGTTTACATTTCAAGTTATATCTGTATTTGAAATGAAAAAACTTTAGTTAAATAAAAATTTGCAGACAAACATTACTTAGTCAACAATAGTCATGCTGAATATTTGTCTTACAAATTTTAAAATTTTCAAAAAAATAAGGCTCACTATATTTTTTGTTTTAATAAAACTTAATTGAAAATTATTTACTTTTTTATGTTAGCTACAAACCCAAAAAGCAATGAACTTTATTTTTTAAAGTTTGAATAAAAATTATTTTCCATAAGATAGCCGAAAAATATTAACAAGTCAATAATACACATACACACACACATTAATTATTGTAGTTTTTAAGTTTTAGCCAGACACACACACACTCGAATATTTGAATAAATAAATATTAAACTTTTTGTCAAATAATTGTATTTAATATTCTTCTTTTAAATTTACTTTGTTTTAATATTCATTTTTTTTAAAGTTACACTTTTATTTAATATAGATGTGAAAATAAATTCAAGAGAATAGAAATTTTAAAAATACATACTTCGAGAATGTTTAGTAGAATAAAAAAGTAAAACAAACAGTAATCCAATTTGAGAATAAGAATTTTTACTTTTTAATTCTGAGAATTTCTAATGCATTTTAATCTTAAAATATCTTCATAAATCCAAATCACATGATTTAATTTAATTTTTGAAAAAGTTTAATTCAAGCTGGCTTGGGTGATAATGAGTCTGTACATCAATTTATTTTATCACAAATTAGTGTAGTTTTTTAGTTTTAGCCAGACACACACAGACAACTTTTAGAATTTACTTTTTCAGAATTTCCAATCTTTTTAGTTTACTCAGGAATGTTTCTTTTTTTTTATTTTAACAATGCCCAAATTAAATACATATTATTAAGAATATAGATTATATTTTCCAAGGAAAAACATTATGCATTAATTTAAAAAATTTTATCTTCATATTAAATTGAATATTATATACTTACCCATTGACCAACAGTACATTTCCACCCAATGATAGAGGATTCTAACCAAGAATGAGATTTTATATGAGCATCTTTCAAGATGGTGCATCGCTTGATACAAACACCATCTTCAATAACAACACCAGGTCCAATAGTAACATTTGGTCCTATCCGACAATTGTGCCCAATATGAGCAGTAGAATCCTGTAATTAAGAAAAATAAACTTTCAAGCAAACAAGAAGTAATGTACTAAAGACAGTAATAGAAATACCAAAAGTTATTTATATATTAATTTAATTAATATTAAAAAATAGTTTTCCATAATTATTTTGTTTTGTTTTTTTTTTTACTGAGTGATATGATAAACTTAATGAAATAAATCTGCTTTTACTTTAATCAGCTGTCTTTCTTTTCTTACATGTATTTTTGAACTGGCAAAGAATATAAATAGACATTGTTACAATATTGTTGCATGACTTCTGCTGGCTCATTTTGGTAAAATAGGAAATTACCATTTACTGGAAATAAAAAATGACTAAAAAAGTACTGACAGTGATTTCTCATGGGCACCACCATTTTGGTTTCTATCAGATATTCTGCAGTACAAACTAAGCTAAATGATACCCAAAACACACACTATAATAAAAATACATCACAAAACAGGTTTTAATGTATGTTACTATGTCTTTGCTGCATTGGAAATAACACTAAATGCTAGTTAGTTTATAACACAAATGCTAGAGATTGATATTTCAGAAGACAATGTAAGTTTTGTAAAAACATAATTATATCCACAGCAGTGGAAGTGTTAATAAAATCAGCAAAAGGATTTGGATGTATAGCCAGAAGGATCAAATTGATTCTTTAAATAGTTTAAAATTTTTAAGTCTTAAAAAAACAAAAAATAAAAAACAAACAAACTGATCTTTATTATGCAAGATATCTTAATTATTATAATTTATGATAAATATTAAAATATACCAAAATAAACATAGTAAAATGATGAGAACTTGTCATTGTCACACTGGTTGAGATTTTATGAATTTTATGTAAATAGAAGAAAGCACTTGTTTATTGAAAATTTTTATCTCAATAATTTTCTTTGTATATTGACAAATATGCAAAAGAAATGGTTTTAAGTGTCATTAATTAAAGAAATAAGAAAATCGACTTACAATTAGCACATTTCCCACAATTCCTTCTCCATCAAAAAGTTTCTCTGGTGTTTTTTGTTTCAGACAGCTTAGGTAAAGGCACATACCAGTGAGAAAATCTTTGGGTTGACCAACATCCATCCAAAATCCTAAAAGAAAAAGTATTTAGTTGTGACTATGCATGAATAGATAGAAAGATTTATAACTTGATTTCTAGATTTAAAAGAACCAATAATTTTACTAACAGATCATCTATTGTGAATTGGACAAGTTTTTTGTTTAATTCCCAAAACTCAGTTCATGTCCATACTTGTAAATAGAAAAGTAATCAAGAAAAATATTTATGAGATAGCTACTTCACTTACCTTCTAATTCCATTGCATACAGATCACCATCTTTGGCCATGACAGGGAATATCTCTTTTTCTATAGATGTAGGTTTTAGCTGGAAATAATCGCAACAGAGAATAAATTAAAATAAAAAGAAATAGTTGATACTATGTAATTGAATCCATTAAATGTCCCAAACAAGAAGGGTGGTGAAAAAAGACCAAATCCTGTCTTACAAAGTTTAGTATAGAAATCTGAAATCACAAGTCTAACGTCAAAAGTCCAAGAGACAAAATAAAATAGGGTCAAAAATTCTAACTCACAGATTCTAACACGGCAAACTCACTTTCACTCACAAACCAAAATATATCCTGCCAGCGTCAAGAAAAGCAATGGCTTTTATTAAGGAGATAATTTTTTCAATTGGTTGTGATAGCCAGGAAGGATTAAAAAAATTACCAAGTGAGGCAGTAATTATCTAGGATTTTTTTTCAGCAAACTGAACAGGACACAAACTCTTTTTTTGGGGTAGGTGATTTCTGTATACACCACAACAATCAAAAGTCATAAGTGCAAAATGTGACAAATAAATAATGTCAATTGTAAATGCTACTTCTGAGAGGATAAAATAAATTATTACAGTGAATAAAAACAATTTGCAATTAGGTTTCTGATTTTTTTTATTTACATCAAGTCATAAAAAACTTGATCTAATACACAGAAATAATCTTAATTTTTACAACAAATTTATTTAAATCAAATTATATCAATAACTTTACAAAATATCACCCGAAGAAGAGCAATGACTAATGCTTCAAATTTATTAAACATGGTAAAGATCAATATTAGTCTAAAAATTCTTTCCCATCATGTAAAACATCTAAATTATTGGTCTTGAAAGTTCGCTCAATAAATAAAAATAACATTTTTGAACTTCTTAAACCATCCTGTTTATTATATAAGAATTAAAATTCATACAGTCATAAAAAAATGATAATGAAAATAACATTAATACAAATAATTCACATACCTGAATTCTGTTTAGTATGGATGTACTGAAGACGTACATACCAGCATTGATTTTATTAGACACAAATTCTTGTGGTTTTTCAACAAAATTATGGATCTTTCCAGTACATCCATCATAGATTACAACACCATATTTAGAAGGTTCATCCACTTTGGTCACCTAAAACAATAGTAACAACAATCTTACATACATTCTTGCATGAATATTATTAACAACATTGGAAGACTTGAAAAATTTTAAGGTATAAAATTTCAATATCTATGAAATAAAAAAATTATTTAATATTGATATTTGTAGCTTTCAAATATAATCATGATTCAAAAACAAAGGTGTTACTATTTTTTATTTAATTAAAATAGTGTTTAAATAAGTTTTCAGGGTTAAAATTGGACAGTACCAACTGTTGTGATACATTTATAAGAAGGTTTTGTTAGCAAAAACTTCATAAAATGGTAAAATAACATAAAATAGGTAAAAAAGTAAACTTACAGCAATTGTTCCTTCCTGTCCATGCTGTCGATGAAATTTGATCATTTCTTTAAAGGGAAAATCACAAATAATATCACTGTTGAGTACAAAGAATAGTTGATCATCTTCCAGCAAATAGTTCCTTGCCAATGCAAGTGGTCCAGCTGAAAAGCAAAATAAATAAATATATATATATATATAGTAAAAACAAAAGATACAAAAGAATAAGTCAGTTTCATCAAATCTTCAAGGACATTGTATTCCCCCCATAGTTGGTATAACATACAAGCATGAAGGTGTCTATAAACACATGTAGAGGGAGCAATTTTCCATTTCAAATTTTCTGTTTCAGGGAATTCTATTTTTTTTTAGTATAGAATTCCATATTTTTCCCAGTTTTCGGTATTTGTTTCCGTTTCATTATAATACTTAGTGAAAAAGTGTAACAATATATAAATGTCATTAAAACAAGAAAATAAAAGGAAAATGAAAAATTTTACCAGCTGGAATACCAGCTTGATAGGGTTTTGTACTTCATACTTCGGCCCTTAATTTAACTTGATAAGTTTCCGGGACAACCCTTGTAAAGAATGCTACAATCCTAAATAAGAATTAAGTGAAAGTGGCAAAACCTACAGAAAAATAAAACTATAGACTACTAAAAGAATTAACATAATTTTAGTGGCAATCTCTGACAGAATGGGTTATCTGCTCTTATTGGCACACCAAAATGCTGGAATGCTGAAGAGCTTTGCTAGGTTATCTTTGTAATTTATATAATTTTGAAATTCTTCAAAGAGTTCAGTGAATGGATCTTGCAAATCTTTGATGGCTGCAAAACTGCCAATGTCATGACTAATACATGGTAGCTGTCTAGGATCAAACAGATGAGCTGATTTATAAAACTCATACACTGGATAAATATCCACGCATTTGTTCAATTTTGAAAGTGCTGTATTGAATACATACTACAAATTTGATATAAACTTTTTTTTTTCTCTATGATTTCCAGTTCAGACAGAAGATGGTCAGTTTCTAGACCAAATGTTGTTTTCAACCTACCACTATCAAGGTAATTCTTTAAATCTTCCATTAGGTTCTACACAATACATGCAAGTGGTAACTTGGTCTCCTTTAAGCTTGTCAAGGCTTTTATTAAACAAGTACAGTTCTTATTGATGAAATGCAGATTGAGACAAATTATGGTATAATGCATGGTGCAATTTACTATCATCTATTAATTCTAAAGTTTGGTCTATTGTCAAGTTGTGGCTTTTTTCTTATTTGAAGAATCCTTCATAAAATTGAACATATGAAGAGTGATACTTGAATTGTCATAACTTAGTTACTAATTGAGCTATCAAGATAAATTTGGTACCATTTTTTATGTTTTGTCAAGCTCTATATGCCTACATAAAAAGCTTTTAGATATATTGAAGGAAAAAATATTTTGGGATACCTACTGTTAGCCTTATACCTGTTTTTGTGAAACTCCTACTGGCCCTAATCAATGCTGAATTGGTTAAGCATCTCACATCGCAGGGCTTTTTTTTTCCGACAAGCAATGTGGCTTCCATTTCTTCAGGTCAACTGCTGATGTACCCACGATAATTGTGGAAAAAATTATCAAGCTCTAGATAAGAATGGTGAAGCCTGGACTGTAGCTTTGGACATCTAGAAAGCTTTTGATAGGGTTTGGCATACAGGTCTTTTCCACAAGCTGAAATGTTATGGCGTCTCCAGACAAATTTTTGAACTGGTCCAATCTTTCATATCAAATTGTGAAATGAAAGTAATCCCGAGTGGCCACTCTTCCAGTTCCTTTCATACTAATGCAAGTGACCCCCAGGGCTCCATCCTTGGTCCTAATTTTTAATTTTCATTAATGACCTTCCCGATAGCATCAGCTCTCAATTTGGTATCTATGCTGATGATACAACCATTTACTCCTGTCCCAATAGGTCAAAATGGCAGTTGATATCTAGAACGACTTTCAGTCTGTTGTTAACTGGGGCAAAGGATGGTTTGTTAACTTTGATGCATCCAAAATTCTATGCCCTCTATTAATCATCTGAGAGACCCCTCTCTGCCCTCCATCAGCATTGCTGATGCTAACCTCATTGCACCGTCTCAGACTAACATTCTTGACTGACATGAAATGGAAAGACTATATTGAATCCATTGCTAGGTCAGCTGCTAAAGAAGTTGGTTTACTATATTGTGCTAGACAATTTTTCTCTCCAGAATCTATCTTACATATCTATAAGTCTACTATTCGTCCATGCTTAGAATATTGCTGTCACATATTGTCTGGTGTGCATTGATAAAATCCAAAGAAGAATCAGCAATATTATTAGCCCTGTTCTGGTATCTAGGCTTCGGTCTCTTTCTGACCACTGTAAAGTTACTTCCTTGTACCTTTTCTACAAAATACTTTCATGGTATTTTTTTGTATGAGCTCTTCACTATGCTGCCTAAACTCTGAATTTAAGCACAGTACTAGACCGACAACAAGGTCTCATCAATTAAATAGTTGAGTTGGTTAAAAGTAACTGTAAATTCTACACTAACAGTTTCTTTTCTCATACTTCTTGCTTGTGGAATTCCCTTCTGGCTCCATGCTTTCCAGTTAACTATAATCTGCAAAAATTTAAATGCAATGTCAATCACTATCTACTGTCATCCTGATTACTCTTCTTTTGTTCTCACAATGTTTCTGTTTCTAACTCTTCTATGACCAGTAACTCCTTGTATCTCAATGGTTTTACTGCCTTACTTGAGGTGAAATTAATTAAAAAAAATTTAAAAATACCAAATAAATTACATACCTGTACCTAAAGGCAACTTCTCATGTGATATAGTTATTTTAATTCCTAACTGTAAAAGAAGAAAAAATTAAGTTTAATAAGCATAAAACCCATAAAAAGATTATTTATATATGGATCAGCATTCATAACTAGGATCAGAATATAAATTTCCTTTTGTTGTGACGTGGGGTCTGGCAAGAGATAATACTTAACTCAACAGAATCAGTCATGATAGTAGTATTCAATACTCAGCTAGACAAATTACTGCAATAGTTATTATCTTCTCTGACAATAACCCAAGACAATTTATCATTTATGGACTGGTCCATTCATGATGATAGTAAGGAGGGTAACTGGCTCTTACCACAACATCTCCCCTTTTGAAACTTACTTCCTATAGAAGTTATATTTTTTTTTTCTTTTGGATTAAGATCCCAAACACTTCTATAAGCTGTCTCTCCCTTTTACTGGAGGGTGTGGTTTCCGGAGCTATCTGGGGCATAGGTACATTGAAAATGTCATACAGAACCATCATTGGCTCCTCCTCTTTGATGCTCTGTTCATCCAAGTACATTTTTATAATTTGATTTAGATGTCTTTCATGTATCCAGGTAATCCCTTTTATCATGTACAATAACTTTCCAATACATCTCTTGACAACCCCATCTTTCCAATATTCCTTTCCATTTTTGTAAGTTCAAAAGAATGCTATTTTGCCGGGTTTGAAGTATTTCTTGTTTTTGACCCCCTTTTTTTTTTAGTATTCCGCAGCAGTCATGTTAGGATTAGGTATCACCAGATATACATGGGTAAAACTGCTTTATAATATTTCTTTAGTTTCACCTTCATTGTTTTTTGTTTTTTTTAATGCCCTTTTGAATGTATCAACAAAGCATTCTGTTGCCCATTCAATCTTAGATGGGGAGTGATATCTTTTATCACAAAGATTTTACAAAACTTTTCAAACTCTTTAGCGGTGAATTGCAGGGCATTGGCCGAAACAATGGTATATGGAATACTATATCTAGCAAACAATTCATGCAATAAGTTTATTGTAATTGTAGAAGTTGGACTCTTGCATTTTAACATTTTTGGTCATTTGGAAAAACTGTCAATGATGATTAGGTAGTAGGCACCATTTATCAGTCCCACAAAATCGATGGGTAATCTCGACCACAGTGTGTGTCTTTGGCCAAAGGTGGAATTTAACTGGTGGTGATTTTGCTGCCATGGCACAACCTCCGCACACTTTTACCAATCTACGTCTTTGTCTATATTGGGACAGTAGATATAACTGAACAAAAGGGATTTCATTCTAGAGATACCTGAATGACCCATATGAAATTCTTTCAACATCTGTTTCTGAAGAGATGTAGGCTTTATCATCATACACTAAGACCTCATCACAGACTGAGAATATATTGCCACCATCAGTTTTCGATTTAATTTTATTTTTCTCCTTCAATTTCCACCTTACTTGCTTCTTTTTTCCTCTAATAAAAGTATCCACCTGAGATTTTATTTTAATTTCATCCAGCGTCACTGGTAGATCACTTACAGCATTGCAGAGAACATTCTTAACTTCATTCTCAGCTCTTAGCATTGCAATTACCATATCTTCTAAAGGTTCACATAATTTAGGTATGATTTAGCTTTTTTGATGGTTGGAATTCCATTTTAAAATTGTAATTTAACTGAATTGTCCCCCATTGCTGAAGTCAATTCACTGAATGTATCAGGATATCCTTTTTTTTTTTACCCCAAAATAGATAACAATGGATGGTGGTCTGTCTGTAGAGTGAACCTTCTACCATGAATGAATTTGAAATTTTTTCACAGCAAAAATTATTTCCAACACCTCTTTCTCTATCTGACTATAATTCTTTTCAGCCAATAAAAGTGTTCTTGATGCATGTGCTATCACTTTTACAGAACTATTTTTGTACTTATGCAAAATTACAGCACCAATACTATAGTTACTAGCATCGTTCACCATGATTATTAACTTTGGATTGAAATATGAGAGAAACAAGTCCAGCGTTAGAATCTTTTTAATTTTCTCGAATGCTTTTTGTCATCCAGCTGTCCAATTTCACTTAGGTCCTCCTTTTTTTTAGTAAATTATTTAATAGTGCTTGTAAAAAATGTATGTTCAGAATAAAAACAATAATTTGCAAAGTCTAAAAATGCTTGTAAAGCAGACACATTTGTTGGGCAGCACATATTTTTTTTTTTATTTTTATTCTTTTTTTTCAAAAAAAAAAAAAAAAAATCACACTTGCTCTGGTTGGGTCTGGTTACCTACCATTTTTGTTGATGATTTGGCTAGAATATTTAATTTTCGTCATGAAAAATTTGCATTTCTCATCATTCAATTTTAACCCATATTCATTTATTTTTTGAATACTTTATTTACGTGCTGAATATGCTGCTCTTGATTTTCACCTTTCTACAAAAATTTCATTTAAGTCAGTGATCACAAAGTTTAGATTTCTGAACACTGTGTCTATTACTTGCTGAAAAATTTCAGGTGCTATCTTAATTCTAAAAGGTAATATGTTAAACTTGAATAATCCCTTGTGATTTTGAACATTCTTTATCAACCTGGATTTACAAATATGCATCTGACAAGTTCGACTTTGAAAAGTACTTTCCGCCATTTAACTTTGTGAAAATTTCTTCTGGGCTTGGCAGGGGGGTAATTGTAAGCTTGTAGGTAATTGTTCAGCCCTGTGAAGAAATCAGCACATACACAGATTTTATTATTTTTCTTTTTCCCGTAAACAGTAAGAAAAGGCCAATTGCTATAATCCACTTTAGAGATCACTCCCATATTTTCCATGTGATCTCATTCCTTGTTTATCATATCCAAAGCTGAAAAAGGCACATTCCTCTTTGGTCTAAAAATTGGTACCACTTTTTCCTTTAACTGGAACTTCGTATTTGTTTTTGTACAACTTCCTAACCCTTCAGAAAAAACTTCTGGAAATTGATTTTTCAATTCTTTTTTTTAGCCTTTCAAAAGAAGCCATCTAGAAGAGCCATCTACTTTATTACGAAAATTTTTGTGTCTCACATTTCCACAGTTAAAACCTTTTTATTCTTAAAAGGGAAGTTCTTCTTGAAATGTAGTTTGCCACATTTGTAATATGGATTTGCTTTTGTAAAGTATTTTGTTTTCCCATATGCTTTGGGATGAACTGAATTTATGTGAGATACATTTCTTTCCTCAATTCTAGCCATATTATGCCATAAGTTCATTATACTTTGACACTCTTTAGCTACAGTTTGCAAGGTCAGTTTTGAGTCATGTTCAAGCTTAGTCAAAATTCTAAAATGAATTTTTGCATTTCTATTTGCTGTCAACACTTGTATGAAGATGAAGCACTTAAACATGTTGGGTGTTAGTTTGCTTAACTTGAACGTTTTACATTCCCTGTTTACAATACTAGCTTAAATGGTATAATCTTTATATTCTTTTTTTTTTTCACAAGATTCAGACATTGCTAACTTGTATTAAACAATGAACTTTGTTCACTGAAAATTTTACTTAACAACATAATAATTTCAAATGACAATTCACTCAATGTTTTCAGTAGGATGTAATTCACACATTTTTTGGTGTTCCGTGGGCACTAACTTTCTTAGTAACAGGTGAACTTTTCCTCATCTGACCAACTTATACAGGCTTTTTTAAAGATTTCCACATAGCCTCAGTAGTATGCTGCAAATGCAACCTCTTCATCAGGGTTAATCCCACTGTACAGATTTTACAAGTTGAAAAAACAAATCTTTGTCCACCACTATTATAATAAATAGTGAATCATTGCCACCAGCTATTGTGATGTGGGCTCTGGCAAAAGACAATATTTAACTCGACAGAGCCAGTCATGATAGTAGTAATCAATACTCATCTAGACAAGTCACTGCAATAGCATTATTCTACCTAGACAATTACACAGGACTACTTATCATGAATGGATCAGTTCATTCATGATAGTAAGGAAGGTAACTGGCTCTTATCACAACACCTTTGTTTACAATAAAAATGTCACTTCCCACCATATGTCTAGATAAGCATAATATCTGTGTGCTCTGTGTATTATGCACAAATATATATCTATTGAAGACATAGGAAGTAACACTGCATGATGACTGTCAATTTCATGATTCGATGCAATGTTCAGACTTGCAGTGTTAAGATATTGATGTATCTTTCTCTTTCAATATATATATATATATATATATATATATATATATATATATATATATATATATATATAATAAATAGCATTGAATTATGAACCTGACAGTTACCATGCAGTATTAATTCCCATGCCCAGTGTCTATATTTATAAATCTGAGCATTCTTCTACTATAAATATAACAAATTTTATACTACTGTCTACCTGTTCATTTACAAGCTACAAAAGAATTGGGAAAAGCAAGGAAGTGAAAGAAGGTGTGAAGGAGAAAACATAAAAATAAGAAATCTAGAGGAGTGAAAGGAAAAAATGGAGATATAAGAAAGACTTAGACAGGCTTATTATCTTCAGTTTTATAGTCATTTACCTTTTTAGAATGGGTCAAGCTTTATTTAATACTAGCAGTAGAGCCCGGCGTTGCCCGGGGATATAACAGTAAGAGATAGATCAAGTATCGACCATCATAAAGACTGAAAAATAAAATTGACAAAGATTATTGTTTAAGGTTGATTTTTTTTTTTTTTTTTTTTTTTACGAATTGGTCAAACCCAAATTCAAACAAAAACATTGTTTTCAATCGTTATGAGTCTATCGATTGGTGAATAGAATTTTATTATAAACAATTGTCTTGTAAATGGAATTTTTAAAGCATTCTGAATGTATAAATAAAGAAAAAAGTGTGCAAGACTATAAGAAATACTACCTGCCCCCCCAAAAAAGTGGATGTTTGTTTTATCGGCTGAAAAATGTAAGAAATCCGATCCCATATATAAAGGAACACACACACAAACAAACAACCTGGGTTTTTTAACCTAAGTCACTCCATGGAATCGCTAAAACATAGAGCATAGTCTGATGAAAAAGACGCCAAAGTTTACGAAAACAAAATTTTATCATCAAAATGCTTATGTTTTTATGAAGAGGATAGACTAAATTTTTTTTTTTAATTATTTTTAAAAATTTTTCCATCTTTTAGAATATTCTAAATTTTGATTTAAAAACCTTGTTTCTCTTTGTCACAACAAGGGGTAGTAAATAACATAGATAATTTTTAGCGCGATTTTTTTTGTATTTACACACATTAATTTGGAAAATCTTGCAAAAATAAAAATAATTGTCAGATGTTAATGAAACTTTCAGAAACTATTCACAGATGATCAAAATTATTATAAATATTTTTTTTTTTTTATTAAAGTCATGGCAGAAATATTTTTTTTATATTTATTAACACCCCCATAACTAATTTTATGAAAAACTCTAGAAATTCGAGACCATCGGTTTTAGTGATTACAATAGTTAAAAGCACAAGGCTTTGAAGAATGCAAATCATGTTTTTTTTTTTTTTGGCCAACGTACCTGAAAATCAGCTGTGAATTGTAACATACAAAACTCAATAAAACAAATATATTATTTAGTTTCAAATGCTTTTATTTGTTTTAATTTGTTTTTATGAATATGGACAATATTTTCTGAAAGCAAAAAAATTTTTTCAATGAAAATTGAATTTTTAATACAATTATTTCTTATTTCTTTAATTTTAAAAGATTTTAAAAAAATTTTAAATTGAATTTAAAAAAATATTTTAACATTAGTTAAAAGCAACATCAACCTTTCAAAATGTCCGTGTGAGATTGTCATTGTCTAGCGCTTTGAAAATTGTATAATTTGGACCAATCAGATTAGCCATGGTAATTAAGAAATGTAATTTTTGTGTTTATAGTCGGACAGTAATTATCAAGTACGGAAGACCAACCAGAATACAATTTAGTTGCATTATTTGAGTTCAGCATTGTTCTCCGCTGTTAAGCCCTTTACTTTTTTGCGAAACAGGTATGGAGAAGTTAATTTGAGTTTTCAATTTCAACTGAGAAGGGTACCTACAAGTAACAGTATCATCTTATGAAATTTAACTACTGCTAAACTTTAATTTATATGATCTTATTTTTATATTAATCTCAGTTATGACATTTTTCCATAAATGAAATATCAAAATTAATAATAAAATGAATGGAAATACAAATAACACAGTAAAATGTAATAAATGTACATAAAATTATAGTATTTTATGTACACTTCTGATAAAATTTCATAAGAAAGGTACCTAAATTAATTAGATACCTTTTTTCTTATGAAATTTAATCTCACTATTAACAGTCTTATTTTTTAATTTCTTTATATTTTCCATAAAGCATCGTAAACGTAAAAATGAAAGCTAAGTACAAAAAAAAAAAAAAAAAAAAAAAAAAAATTAGAGCGCTGAAAGTTTTCCTTAAAAGTAACGAGGTAAATAATTTGTTCACTTAAATAATTTCACTTGCTTCCATCCGTAGAAAGAATTCTCCTCCCGTAAGTTATCTAAACGTCATGAATGTGCCTTTTCGTCAATCGTCAAGCGACGCGAAAGGTTATGACCTGCTTTGTTTTATTTTCAAATTACATTTTTTTCGGCGCAAAAGCTAAGTTAAGCTTGGTTCAAAATATTTTAAATAAACAGTATAATTTCTGTTTTTATTAAAATCAGTTTTGAAAAAATGATAATTGATTTTTAAAAGAATATCAAAGTCAGATTTTAATCTTTTTTATCAAATCGAAAAAAATGATTGATTATCTGTCATTTTTTTTGACCAAAAAAAAAAAAAAAAAAACAATATTTTTAACGAAAATTTCAGACGTGCTAGGAACGATTAAAAAATGTAAAAAAATACCCAAAAAATACTTTGATCTTTCCTCTTTAATAATAATATGAACATTAGACGATAAAATTTCGTTTTCGTCAAGTTCGGCTTTTTTTTTTCATCATGCTATGCTCTTTTGTTTACATTTTCATGGGTGAGTTGTCCCCCTTCCATTCTCACGATGTGTCTTAATCGTGTTTTCACATTGATTTTGTTAAAAAAACAATTTTGTTTTTCCCCATTTTCGGCGCCGTTAGAACCATCACAAGGTAATTTTATGTAGTCCTGTGAAGTTTTGTTGAAATCGGCTAAAAAATGTAGGAAATTTAATCCAATATATAAACATTACAGACACACACACAATCTGCGTTTTATAATAAGTAAGATTATCATCTAATAATTTGGTCATATCTATCTTCTGCCAAAGATTTTTTTTCACTTGCTATTCTTTGGTAAATCAGAAGTGTTCCTACTAGAGGGAAAATATTTATACTGATTTTAATTATCAAATTTTCATAAAATTCTATTATTAATATACTTGATACACAGGTTATTGAACTATCATAAAGGACAAAAATTTAGCAAATTTAACCTGTTAACCATTTTTTTTTTTATCTGGGATTATGCCATAGTCTCTAGATTTTAAAATTGGCATGGGGAAGAGTATCTGGTTGTAAGTTACATAATTATGATTTGGTTTGGTTTGGTTTGTGTTGTTTTATGGCATATCAACCTCAATGGGTTATTTAATGCTAACAAAATTTTTATTGCTGATAATATTTTCTTTTGTCAAAAATCTATTTCTGGTAATAATTTTTTCCTTCAAAATTGTATTGCTGGTAATATATTTTTTTTCAAAAATGCATTGTTGGCAATCCTTTCTTTTCTCTCAAAAATGTATTGCTGGTAATAGTTTTTTTTTCTTCAAAAATCTATTGCTGACAATTGTTTACAAAGTATTTCTAGTATCAAAACCCACTCCTACACCTTCACAGCGCTTTGACCCCAGTTTCGGGGCCAACCACCAGCCCTTAGCTTAAACCACAACTGGTGACACGACCCTAGACCACGGCAGACCCGGGAACACCAGCAACTAAGAGTCTGTTCCACACTCCTCAAAACCTCCTGACCAGAGGCCCAGCTGCTGAACACAAGTTTATCGTCTTACCCAGGACACCCTATTGAGGGAGGGGTCTTACCTCTCTGCAGAAGTGCAGTTGGAATATTCTACAGCCCCAGCCAAAAGGGCTCAGAATTATGAAATAAATCAAAGATAGAAACAGAGGGAAGTAATACATAATAGTATACAATTTATGCAAAGTTTGTCCAGAAAGTATTAACCCATTTAATATTATTTTAAAAAAATAGCCTACCTAGGGAAAAGTACTTTTATTGAGTCCTCAAAAACTTATCCCAGCATTCTTTCCACCTTTCAGAACAATCTGCAAAGTTCACTTTTGAGACTGCCATCAGTTGCCTTGTTCTATTTCATATTGTCTACAGCCTGAAATCTCCCTTTTTAGCCTTAAGAAAGGGAGTCAAATCTATTCTGTTGAGGAGACTGACATACTTAGGTGATGCAATGTTTTGGAAAAAACAACCTTCATGAGGTGTGATGAATGGACAAATACATTTCATAATTAATACAACAGTCACACAGCAAAAAAAAAGTTCAAAGGCAACTTTCTGCTGACTGAGTAACTCCATCAGAGTGCATCTGTTCATGTATATGCAGTACAATTTTCTCTGATTGGTTCATGAGTTACATAAAAGCTGCCCAACTAATTATTAAGATATTCAAAAATGGCTGGTACTTTCCAGAAAAAAACTCATATCATCTTTTAAGAATTGTTTATATAATAGACCTAATGTTTTATCCTCAATCAATTGAGAACATTCTCTAAACAAAAGTAATTTCTTACAGGTTTTTAGATGAAGTGTTAAATTTGCCAAAGTCAATTTTTTAATTATATCATTGTACATTAGTTAAGAATAAACAACATCCCTTTGCAATATTAAAAAAAAAATACTAGAGTTTTTCATGTGATATTTCATTATTAAAATACAAATAATGTCAGACACTAATAAAGATTCGATAAATAACAATAGGTAAACATAAAAGTCCCATATATAATACTTACGGATTTTTCTAAATATTTTAGTTCATCTTCCACCTGTTCTGCTCGATAACTTACAGCAAGAATGATATGTCGTACTCCAACCTGTGAAAATAAATATTGATAAAATACATTAACTATAAAGGCTTTTTACTGTTTTTAAGTATTGAAGCTTACCTCTCTTAGAAAGCCTTCATTGGACACTGACATTATTTTTTGTTTTCAATAAAAAAGAAAAGAAAATTTTAAAATCTCAAAGGAATTAATTCACTTACGTCCACAAGGGCTTCAATTTGATGTAGTAACATTGGTTTGTTCCCAAACTCTATTAAAGGCTTAGGATGGCTCAAGGTGAGGGGACGTAGCCGAGTTCCATAACCTCCAACCAATATCAGAGCCTTCATGTTTAGAGGGAAGCTAAAACATAAAATGAAGAATTAGATATTAACTTTATTGTAAAACATACTATCAATAATAGAATTATAATAATTGGTTAATTTTTGAAGTCTGATAGTCAATTTTTCTAATACTGACACTCAAAACATTCTATTTTTTAAATTATTTTATAAAGTTTTTTAATTTGACAATTTATTCTGAATTATGGAAAAAATATGACATCATCAAGAAATATTAAAGATATGAATTAAGTAAAGTTTTCCTGAACTTACAAATGAATAAATATGAAAATCATTGTTCCAAGATGTGTGTGAGTTATTGTACGTATTTTTTATTGTTTATATTATTACAAAGTTTTGGCCAATTCATTCTAGTTGTTTTGTAGAGTAAGTGGCCATGGCAGAACTGCCTAACAAACAGAATTGACAAAGTTTGTAACAAACAATAACAAAAAAAAGAAAAGAACAGGGCAAAAAATAATATTGAGCAAGCAAACAATATATGCAAGAATAAGGCTAAAGGTTCAAGCTAAGAAGAGTGAATTCAGATTAATAAACATAGTTTTCTGACTTCAACACAGATGAAACTGATAAGTGGCCTATCTTATTGGTTAGGAAGAAATCTGAGCATACATTTGTGTGGTTCTGCCTATAAATTGGGTAAGTATTTTACAGTCATTCCAATACAGATCATAACCAACATGTTTCATTTTTTTCAGATGCACAATAAAGAAAGAGAAAGATCACTTTTCATAAAAATTAGTGGAATTAAAGTCATTGATTTAAATGTTATAGTCTTTATAACATTTAAATATGTTTGCAATCTCACAGTTTCTAAGACCAGTCCTATAACAACCAAGAAATTTAACTTTAAGTAAAACATCAATCTTGTTTAATTAACTGAGTTAACATTATGTGAAAGGAAAAATAAGATTCACAAAGTTATGGTTTAGGATTAAAATTGAAAAACTGGAAAACCATCAAAATATCTCTTTCTAAGATTAGCTTTCTCAACATGGCCAACTTCTGCCAAATCTGATAAAAAAAAAAAATCAGAATCACTTCTTGGTCAAACTGAGAACTTTTCCCAATCTCCTTATACAATTCATTTTTATATGTTTTTAGAAGATTAGTTGGTATTCTATGTCTTTATATTTTCTAATCAAAATGTTTTACATCTAAATTATTTAAATCTATTTAGAATACTGAAAATTTAATTTTTATATTCTTTCAAAACATAAATAAAAATTTTATTTATCAATTCAGCCACTTTAAATATGTTTCAAGATAAAATTTTGGAGTTTGTGTGTAACTAATAAGTTGCCACACATCAGTCTTGGGAGACTGTGAAGTCTACTATAGTGGCTAGTTAATCCCTGTTGCAGATGCCTGCTCAAGCATATTTTGTGTTTTTTTTTTCAGCACTGACAGAGTCAATATGTGGTTTATACTGCACCTTTGCTGAGTGGACCTTAGTTACAGTTTCTAGGAGAGAGTACATAATCTGGCATGGCCAGTAATTGAAAAAGATCAGTATGCTGGAACCTTCAGTCATGATGACTTGGGACTTTGAGCTAATAATACTATCAACAGCTTAAAAACAGTTTCATTAACCTAATTTTACTTACAAGGCTTAGTATAGTTTTCAGCCACTTCCCAATATCTATGCTGATGATACAAAGGTATATGGGAACATCTCCAAAACTCTAGATGGCCAGAGCTTGACAGTCGATCTTTCCTCCTACCTAGCTCTAACAGCACAGTGAGGGTAAAACTGGTTGCTCACATTCAATGCCTCAAAGACCAAACTAGTGATGCTCCATCATCACCAAGCAGACCCAGATCTTTTCATCTTTCTTTTCATGAGGAAAAGGTATTCCTTCAGGGAGGCTCCATACTTTGAGCACCTATTGGCACTAAAACTCAAGCCAGACCTCATGTGAAACCACATACATACATTGCTAAAGATGCTGGGAAAATGGTTGGTTGCCAGTAGGTAACTGAATCCACCTGCTATTCTTTACAAGAGCCAGATCAGGCCCAAAATGTTGCAAGTATCTCGCTGCTCTATCACTATTTCCATGGAAAATGTTCAGATGAACTACATTCCTTAGTTCCACCAGTTTTAACCTTCACGGCTAAGACCTGCCATGCCATATTATAGTGAACTACCCTCATTCCCTTCATATTCTATTGGTGAGATGTAAGTTCCACAAGAGTAGTGAATGGTTGCTTTGTGGAACCAACTCCCAAAAGGATGCTCCTCCAATCACTAAAATCTTAACCTGTTCAAGTCTAGAGTCAACTTATCTTCTCCACATATCCACATAAACTGTGCCACTTACTTTGTAACCCTCTATCTCGAGTGGCTCTTGGGTCTTGTGTCGGGTGAACATTAGTGTAAAAGAAAAAATTATCTAAAAGTTACCTCCTCAACAAATCGATCATGGTGAGATTTGAACCTGGGTCTTATGGTCAGAAATTAATGTTCAAAATCACTTGACCACCATGTGCCCACTGTGCAACTGATATATATTATTTTCCAAGCTTCCCTAAAACTAACTTAAAGAAAAATTTCTTGCAATTTTTACCCGATTTGACACCCTTGAAATCACAGAAAAAAAAACTTTAATTTTTGACAATAATAAAACATTTTAAAAACTTTTATTGAGAAATTATGTGTAGAACAGCCTCCCAGTTGACAATAATAATTTTAATAATCAACAAATATATCACTCTTTATAAGAAAGGTGACTTGACATTAAGTAAATAATCTAACAAAGATTGACATGTAAAAAAAAAAAAAAACAATTCTAAATTCTTTATAAATTTATGATAATTACAGCGGCAATGAAAATTTTGATTTTTCCAACTTATAAAATAAATGAACTTTTATTTCTGGCCATAACTAATTAAAAAAAACAATTTTTAAATATTTAGAAACTAAAGAAATCATTACAAAACTTACTATTTGCAAAATCTTAGTTTCACTAATTTTTGTACATTCTCTGTTTTAAACCTGTTAAAAGAGAACCACAGCTAAGTATTCTCAGTTTGTGCTCCAGAGTTCAGTATGAAACAATACATTCTGATTGGTCCATAAATAATGTCAGGTTTCTGTCTACGCCTGCACGGTTGACCTCAAGTTGACCTGTTCAGAGTTCAGCATGTCAAAAAAAAAATGTAAACGTTCTCAAGCTCCAACTTGATCAAGAAAACTCATAAATATGAAACTTCGATGCAACTTAGTGAGTCCTTAAAATAATCAACTCATCACATGAATCCATGAAACCAAACTTCCTCACTAAAAGTTAATTTTTATTAACATCAACCCGGCTTGTGGAATTCAATTTCTTTTCAACATCAACTCATCTAGTGACCAATTCAACTAAGACGAGATTCAGAAACCAACTCACTCAATATCTTAACAACATAAAGGAAATCGTAACTATATCAGTTGAAGCGAGACAACTCTACAGTAAGTAAAGTCAAGTAATCTATTTCATTCAATTTCAGCATCAACATAAACTGTTTAATTTCTTACTAGAGCTATAGCATAACACCTTTGATCATGTACCATTGATCATGCAACCAAGAACTCTAAAAAGTGTTTTAAACAATTTTATTATATCGTGTGTACTTGTTGTAATATAAAAATATTCTCTTTTAAAACAAATATCTGCCTATTTGATTATTTCTCTTGTTGTTGTTGTCTTTGTTGCATTTAATAAAAATAATAGAGGATCAGTTTAATTTGTATTTGTCACCGATACAGATTGGCTAACCCAATACAAATTGGTGATCCTGAAGTTCAAATGTACAAAGCAATATTTTAAAAATCTTTTATAAGAGAAATACTTTCACATTTAAAACAAAAAAAAAAACAATGGAAAATTCTACCAGCAAACATATTGAGGTGGCAATTTCCATCAATCTGTCAACGTATTCTGCAACACCTTTAAAACCTATTGTCAGTCAGTGATTATCAAGAATTAAAGATTGTATAGCCAAGCTAACCTCACATTTACAGGATCTACAGACTGATATACACCAGCAAAATACCACACCCAATGATTTCACTAGATGGTCACATCCATCATGTCATACTAGGTGCAGATCACATTCCACATCCAGAAATAGGCCTATATTTAATACCAGTTCGTATCACTTTAAATATGGACGACAGGCGTGGCATTGTACAAAACCATGTAACTTCGACATGAATACAGCGAAGGATAATAAACCACAGCAGTCAGAAAATGACTATTCTGACAACATGTAGAGACGTTTGCTGCCGGAGGGATACCAAAAAGTCGTCTCTTTTACATCCGAGATGAGAACTCTGGCTACTTGTTTTTAGTGGACACCGAGGCACAAATTAGTGCAATACCAGCCAAGCCTAATATGTTGACTAGAAAAACAGATTATACGTTACAAGCAGCAAATGGATCTTCAATCCAGACATGTGGTGAAATCTTGTTAGCCCTAAATCTGGGATCTATATGATCTTTTTCTTGGATATTTATGATAGCCCAAGTCAAAACTCCAATCCTAGGAGTGAATTTCCTAGCCCACTTTAACTTGTCCGTTAATATTTCTTCCCTTTTTTGGAAGATAAAATGACCAACTTTACCAGGAAATGGATTACATCTATCTACACGAACACAGGTATCAGTGCAACCCTACCTGAAGCAAACGGAATGCAGGATCTGTTACAAAAATATTCTCAAATTACAACAACATTCCAGTATACAGAAACCGTTCATCACAACGCTGAGCACCATATTGATACTACAGGCCCACCCATGCATTCATCTCCAAGGTGATTGAGGCCTGATAAATATAAGTTGGCAAAAGCTGAGTTTCAGCACATGCTGGACCTCGGTATAATTAGACCTTCGAGTCCTTACTCA